GATAAAATCCAAAGAAGACTGAATAATATTATTGGTCCTGATCTGGCATCTCGGCTTCAATCGCTTTCTTAAAAGTAAACTTGCTTTTTCTATAAACACTTTTATGGCAATTGTTCGGATGAGCTCTTCGCTATGGCACCAAGACGTTATGAATTTAAGCGCAGTACTAGATTGGCAAGAAGGTCTTATCAATTTACATTTGAATGGTCTAGATGTAACCATAAGTTCTATGCTAACAGATTCTTCTCTCGTACTTTTCACTTATGGAAGTCGCCTATGGATCTATGCTTTCCAGTTAACTTTAATCTTCAAAAATTTAAATGCAATGTCAATCGTTATCTACTGTCTTCCTGATTACTTTTCCATTGTTATCGCTCCTTAGTAAATTTCCTGTCTTCTAATTTTTTCACACAAAGCAACCCCTTGTGTCTTAGTAGATTTACTGCCTTGCTTGAGGTAAATCCGAATAAAAATGTACTTGATGCTCTAATCAACTTCGAATTAGTTAAGCATCTCACTTCGCAGTGTCTTCTTTCAAAAAATAATATGCGTTTCGCTTCTTTAAGTCAATCGCCGATGTGATAACAGTTATTTCTGAAAGAGTCTGTTAAGCTTTAGATAAGAAAGATGTTGTAACTTTAAATATTTTGAAGGTGTCTTACAGGATTTGGCAAAAGCTGGTCTTCTTCCCAAACTGAAGGGCTATGCTGTCTCCGGCTTAATTCTTGATTTGATCCAATCTTTCTTATCAAATCGCGTAATGAAAGCCGGATTTTTCATTAATGCAGGTGTCCACCAAGTCTCTATTCTTGCACCTACTTTGTTTCATTAATTCCTGATTCGGTATCTATGCTGATCACACAACCATTTACTACTATTTTAACCTATCAGTTCAATAAATTGTCAGCTGATCTTGAAACTGGTCTTCAACTGGGGCAACAAATGACTTACAAACTTTAACGCCTCCAAAACGAAACTGCTGTCTTTTAGCCAGCTAAGAGGGTTATATTTGTAAAATGATGCTAACCACCAGGAGAGAAATTCAATGAACCTTTTTAGTTTCACGTTTTCCACTGACATAAAGTTGAACGATTATATTGAATCAATTGCTAGATCTGCTGTTAAGAAATCTGATTCACTGTGTGGTGCAAGACAATTTTTCTCATCAAAATCCAGCTTGCATGTTTATAAGTCTACCTACCATTCGTCCCTGCATTACATATTGCTGCCACATCTGGTCTGGTACTACTGCTATATATATCAAGATTCTAAAGACAAGATCTAAAGAAGAATCTGCAAGTGTTATCGGTCTTGATTTAGCATCTCGGCGTCAGTCACATACCCATCGCCGTAGAGTAGCTTTCATGTGTTTTCTATAAATATTTTCATGGCAATTGTTTTGACGGGTTTTCCTTTTCATTATCAAATCATTAATAACTTTTAACTTCTATTTCCTTCGTTTGGATTTCAGTTTCTATTCATGTCATCAGATTACGATACATACAGCTCGGATTGGGGAAAAAAAAACATGAGCTCCAGCGAGACTCAAATTCGCATAGCTTTTACTTCGAGAAGCCGACTTAAATATAGCAGTTGTTCTATGGAATGAACAACTAGAACTTTTAAGATCAACCGTTAAGATAAAATAAATACACCTGACAAATTGATAGTGTTTGACAATGCGTCATCGAATAAAAATGAATAGAACACATTGCATTAAAAGAAGTAGATATAAAGAAACCGGGCTGCAATCGTACAAAATAATGTTAGTTCTATTCTGTCAGTAATGCTTGCATTAATTCTTCACAATACCTTTTCTTCCTGATTTTTAAGGGATAACATCAAGATTGAAACTAAGAGAAATTAGATCAAAAATGCAATCTTTTGAAAGAAAATAATGATGATTCTAAGTTAATTAATTCAGATTTTTCATAATCACTCATCAACTGTCTTCTGAATTCATGTCTTTTTATTGTTCTCTCTACTTAATAACATATTATTTTATTCATTTTGTCTTACACTTGCGTCTTAGTGGCTTTATTGCTTTGCTGAAGTGATTAAAAGCAAAAGCAATTATAAACATCATAAATACCTAAAATGTTTCTGTCCTAAAGAATTTGTTTTCAATATTGGAATATCACAGAATCTTTGTAAAAAAAAAAAAAGTGTTTGATGTATTATCGCTATGCTTTTCATTTTTTTTTCTCATCGTGAACAACTTAGTCGGAACCAATGTTAGTAATAAGCTGCGGTCGCATTAAAGTTGAGTTGGTATTCCCTGACTTCATTAATTTAGCATTATGGAATATTACACTTGATTTTAATCTGATGACAAATATTTAAAAACAATCTTTGTTGTTTCGTTGTTAAAAGAAAAGTTGAAAATTCGTTTCCTTAAAGTACTTGAATGGCTCAGAAGTATGAAACCAAATTCCAACATTGATTAATTGAATACAATCTTTTCAATTATTTATTTTAAACTTCTTTAAAAGTACTTTACTTACAAATAACATTCCTAAAATTTATATTAATCGACTCGACTTTTCAAGAACTATTCTATTCCCAATAGCGGTTAATAGTCAAATGTTTTTTTCTCAAAAACGGTGAGTATTTCGGGTTTATTTACCATTCTGCACCCCGGGGCGGGGGGTAAATAAGACACACATATGTTTTTAATGTGAGCATTCACACGCATACGTGTGAGTAGAAGCAAAAATTACCCAATCCCGTGCGGCTTGTACCAAAAAAGACACCAACATTACTCACGAACCCCTCTCTTTTTAAATTCTATGTCAATTGGAAGTAGAACTAAGCCCATCTGCATTCAGTTTGTCATGCCGAAGATAATAACAAGCCTCTCTATTTATCAACCTCCCCACAAGACAAGATGTGGCACGAAGCCAGTTTTAATGTGGGGCGTTCCCTAGGCTCGACCAAAAATTGCCCGTAGACTCCGTATACACGGAGTCGGGTTTGTCTATCTCCCCAAACGAAACTCTGCAGAGAGTTCGGCAAGAGAGGAAGAGAAAACCTCCTCCTCGTCCTCTTCTCCCTATATTAACTTATAGTGGCAGCAGTGGATTTATTTATTTATTTTAATGATATTGTTCCACGGTTAAAATAATTTTCGAAACTTGCAGTTGGCAAAATCTTTGCTTAGCGTCATCTATCATATGATGTCATCCGTTTTTGTGACGAAATCAATATCCACGTTTACTTTTTTCTTTCTTTAGGGATTTCACTTAGGTAAATTTCACATTTCGATTTTTTCTTACAGAAAAAGTACTCATATATCTTTCTAATCCTTCTATACTAATATCTGAAGCATAATGGCGACATTAAAAAAAGGTGTCACTATGCGCAATATAATGCCTACAGATGATGACATACAAAACATAAAGGATACTTTTAATCGACATCTGCATTTTACTCTTATGAGAGACCGAAATGTAGCCACCGATAGAGATTACTATTTCGCTTTAGCACTCACCGTTAAGGAGCATCTTGTTGGACGCTGGATGCGTACGCAACAACATTATTCTGACACAGACCCCAAAAGAGTTTACTATATTTCGATGGAGTTTTACATGGGCAGGTTCTTAGAAAATTCTATCCTTTGCCTTCGTAACAGAAACGCATTTGAAGAAGCGATGAAAGAACTCAACTTGGACTTGAATAAATTAATAGAACACGAAAAAGAGGCAGGGTTGGGAAACGGGGGTCTGGGTCGTTTGGCTGCTTGCTTCTTAGACTCAATGGCAACGTTGGGAATCGCTGGCTACGGGTATGGGATTCGTTACAATTACGGCATCTTTAAGCAATACATCAAAGATGGTTGGCAATTTGAAGATGCTGACGATTGGTTGGTATTTGAGAATCCTTGGGAAAAACCATTGCCTGGATATAGAGTCGAAATAAATTTTGGAGGAAGAGTCGAAAATCATAATAATCGCTTCAAATGGGTTGATACAACTGTTGTAATTGCTACGCCATACGATTACCCAGTTCCAGGTTATAATAATAATCGGGTGAATACATTGAGATTGTGGTCGGCGAAGGCTCCAAAAGACTTCCATCTTCATTTTTTCAACAATGGCGATTACATTCGTGCGGTAATTGAAAGAAATGTAGCAGAGAACATTTCTTGTGTTCTTTACCCAAATGACGCATTTTTTGAGGGTCAAGAATTGCGTTTAAAGCAAGAATATTTCTTGGTGGCGGCCACAGTTCATGATATCCTCAGGCGATTTAAAGAAGACAGCCATGGAAAAAGAAATAAAGGCAAAGAAATGTTTCTTCAGTTACCCGAGAAGGTGGCCATTCAGTTAAATGATACTCATCCTGCAATGGCTATACCCGAATTGATGCGAGTTCTTCTTGATAAAGAAGAACTGGATTGGGACACCGCCTGGAATATCAGTTGCAAGACTTTTGCATACACCAACCACACGTTAATGTCAGAGGCTTTGGAACGATGGCCAGTGTCTCTACTGGAAAGGCTACTTCCACGTCATTTGCAGATCATATTCCACATTAATCATCTTCATTTGAAAAATCTAGCCACTATTTGGCCTTCAGATAATGATCGGTTGAAAAGAATGTCGATCGTGGAAAATGAACCTTTTGATAAGATAAATATGTCTTACTTGAGTATTGTGGGATCTCATGCCGTAAATGGTGTAGCAGCTCTCCACTCAGAACTTATTAAATCAGATTTATTCAAAGACTTTTTCGAGCTAACACCCAATAAATTTCAAAATAAAACCAACGGAATAACACAACGGCGATGGCTGTTACAGTGTAATCCAGCTTTAGCAGAACTGATTACAAGCAACATTGGTGAAAAATGGATTACTGATTTGGACCAGTTGTGCTCTTTAGAGAAGTTTGGAGGTAACGAAAACTTCCTTGGTCTATTGGCAGCTGTCAAAAAAAAGAACAAGGAACGTCTAGCTTCATACATTAAAGAACATTATGATATAACTGTGAATGTGGACTCCATGTTCGATGTGCAGGTGAAGCGAATGCACGAATACAAACGCCAATTGCTGAACTGTCTTCATATAATCACCAGATACTGCCGTATTAAATTCGACAAGACCTACAGAGTTGCCCGCACGATTATGATTGGCGGAAAAGCAGCACCTGGTTATCGAGTTGCTAAATTAATTATCAAACTAATAAACAACATTGCACATGTCGTGAACAACGATCCAGATATAGGAAGCAAACTGAAAGTTGTCTATCTCGAAAACTACTGCGTTTCTTTAGCTGAAAAGGTTATACCTGCTACGGATCTGAGTGAACAAATCTCAACGGCTGGAACTGAGGCTTCCGGAACAGGTAACATGAAATTCATGGCTAACGGAGCGCTAACAATTGGTACCATGGACGGTGCTAATGTGGAAATGGCCGAAGAAGTCGGTAAAGAGAATATGTTTATTTTTGGACTGACCGTTCAAGACGTGAAAAAACTAAGAAGTTCTGGTTACAAGTCTTCCGATTATTACCATAAAGGAAGTGAACTGCGTCGAACCATGGACATGATCAAAGATGACTACTTTAGCTGTGGCTGTCAAGGTCAATTCATGGAAATTTTTGACATACTTTACCATTCTGATCACTATCTACTTTTAGCAGACTACCGCGATTACGTAAGGACCCAGGATGTTGCTGATCAACTCTATTTGAGAAAAATTGAGTGGACAAAGAAAGCTCTCCTGAACATTGCAGCCTGTGGTAAATTTTCCAGTGACCGAACTATCAAAGAATATGCTGATGATATCTGGAAAGCGAAATACACTTTGGAAAAACTTAAAGCTTAGAAACTTAAAGGTTCAAATAAAGAAAGAAATAAAATTTTAAAAAAAACTGAATGAACGACCAGTGTTTATATATTTATGTATTATATATCTTTATTAAGATTTCCCGAATACACAGGAAGATAAAACATATATATGTGTGTATGTGTGTGAGGGACGTGCCATCAAGATAGTCAATGTAGGCAGTACCTACCCTGAATAAAATAGATCAGCAGCTACATTTTCCTTCTGTGGCACAATATGCACCTAATCCAACAAACTGATGAAGGTTACTTTTGATTATTATGCATAAAATGGAAAATATGTTTTTTTTTTTTTTTTCAGATTTACTACATAAAGATCACAAGCTGCCTACCCTGATTAATTACTGACGGCACGTGCCTGATGTGTGTGTGTGTGTGTGTGTGTGGAGCACTCTATTTACAAAGAGCCTTAAAAATATATATATATATATATATATATATATATATATATATATATATATATATCGTCTGGATAAAGAAGCCATTTAAAAACAAACTAATGTTTGTTCATCTGGCCTGGGGTGTGTGGATGGTGTAATGGATAGTAGGCCAGAATAAGATAGCCTATTTCAAATTCCAATCAAATTCGTTATATTCGCTTACACATAAATACTCTTAGGAAAGATATGAATCCGTCTCTTTCCCTCATCTATAGATTAAATAGTAGGATTTGTATCTAGAAAATTATTGCTATTAATCATTAATTGTTAATGCAGCATTCACTCGAAAAAATGATTTTTTTAACTACAAAAATGTTTCGGCTTTAAATAATGTACAAAGGGATGATAAGCCGTAAAAACAATCAATTATTTTGGCAGATATTTGGAAGAGGATAAAGCAAATAAATTTTCAGTAGCACCCCATATATATGAGGTTTCTGATAAGTTGTCGACCCAATCAAAGCTCCATTATCTAGAGAAAAAAAACTGATGTTTGGTTATTTGATCAGAAATGATTAAAGACTTCCCCAGCATATAAGTATATAATGGCTGCTAAGTTGGCTAACTAATCCTTGTTACAGATACCTGCTCTATAAGAAATTAAAACTGCTTAAGCGTGTATCGTCTGCTTTTCTGAAAGAAAACAGACGCTGTGTTAGGCTCTAGCATAAACTTTTGAATTTTAAAAATATTTTGGGGTCATTCCAATTTGTAAAATAAGTGCGTTTGGTTTCACTCGGAACTAATCAAAAGGTTTCCCTTCAAATTCCGAGAAGGAAATCTGGAGCCTATCTTAGTGAATACAAACAAAAGACTGAACTGAATTCATAGAGTCGACGAAAAGCTGCTGCAGCGATCAAGGTCGGCCCGGTCAAGAAAAAACAACACGGAAGAAAATTGACGGCCACTAGACAAGAATTTGAAAATAAAATCAATGTCGCCTCGACATCAAGAAAAATTTTTCGACTGTTGAGATTGTTATGTTCTTTGCAGTTACCACGAACTTTGCTTTAAACATTTTTCTTTGAAAATCATTCAGAGAAATATTTCTATATTTATTTACATGTTTACCATTTCTAGAGACTTTATGCAGAATAGTCATTTTTATTGTAAAAGATTAAATGAAGCATATTTTATTTGCAGTGATTTATTTCTTATTGGCCATCATTTGGCACACATAGTACTTAATTTGTGTAATTCTTTCATATTTTGCGTGTTAATAAATTTATCGTCTGTTTTTCTAAATTCGGCTCGTGTCGTCTGTCTTTGTTGTGTGTCATTGGCTTATAAAATTAAATGTTACCTCAAACATTTGTTTGAACTATAATTTTTTCTTAGGGTTTTTAAAAGAATCAATTAGCTCAGCTACATCAGAGTCAACCTGTGATTTACATTGTAACTATTCTGCGCGGACCTTAGTTACAATCTGGTGCGGTCAATAGTTGACCAAAGCCAGTGCACTCAAACCCTCTCTCACAAAATCTGTGACTTCGTACCAGCATACCCATCGACGGCTTCTGAATAGTTCCGTGTACATAATTTCGCTAATACGACTTTAGTAAACCCGTGGTATAGATTTTGAATCAATTCTCAATGACGGTGTATGCTGGTATCGTCTCTACAGCCCGTTATTATCAAGATCTCTTCTTGATAAATCTACCATGGCGAGTTTTGAGGCCTGATCTCATAGTCCGAACGCTAACATTCTAACCACTCGATCATTCGCCCATCCTCAAAAGACACACGTGCGTACGCATGCTAGAAGTCATGTATGTATGTAAAGTTAATGGTAGGAAGCGTCACCTACTTGGATGTCATGGAAATGCTCTGATATATATCAGTTGTGATCTGACATCTAGCGCGTCAGTGTAAACACCAGATAAGCTGCTCAAACCAAGCTGCAGTGACTTACCTAATTTTCAACAGGGTATGATAATCGATAGAATATTTCTCAAATTATGGAGACATTTGACATCCATCGATCTAAGTTATATATATATATATATACATATACATGCATATAGATTTGATTATAGTGGTGAAGTCCTCGTGCAGGACCATCCACACTTTTTGAAGGGACGAATACAGAGACCTGGTGCACTAAGTGCCACAAGGTTCCCAAACGACCCTCCGCAGGTTTTGAATTCAGAGTTGTCCTTCTCCTAGACCAGTTGCCATCCAAGGCTATAGAACCCAGTCTGTCCTGCTATTTTACCCATAGCTGGAGAAGATGAGGGTTCATACCTTTCCCAAGGGTATTAGCATGTAAGTGAATGTAATGGATTCGACTGGAATTCGAACTCGGCTCTGCGATTCCTCAATCCAAGCCGCTATCCATTACTCCAATTAGACACTTAATGACGTATTATTAATTAACAGCTATCTGTCGCTGTGACTGACCAGACGGTGTGCGTACATGAATGCCATCATTCTCTTTGAAATAGACACCCCGGCCCTCTTTCTTTCTTTTGACCTCTTTCCGAAGGTGACTCATATTTGGATACAAATTAACTGTTATGCACCTCATCAAAATGGTCGCCCCGGCCGTTTCCATAGTGATTAATTTTACGAATGAACATGCTTATAAAGATGCGTAAATTTCAAGATTGGTTATTCCTAAATTTTCGCTTGAGAATGAAACAGGGCTTGATACTTTAATTCAATTTAATTTCAATAATTATATTGAAACATGAGAACTCTTATGTAGCGAAGGAATCATATTTTTTTTTAATAATTATTATATATATATATATATGTGTGTGTGGGGGGCAGCATTTTTTTTCATTGATGCATGTCTCATTAAATAATATAGACAAGTTTTTTCTATTTATTTTATGTAAATTATTTTCATATCATCTGATAAGCTTAATAACGTTATTATTAAAAGAAGAAAGAAAATCTCAATATTGATACATTGATACTCAATATTTTTTAATCGTATCTAAGCTTTCGGCTTACATAAGCCATTCTCAAAGATGACAATTACATTACAATATATTGTAAGTTAATTGTCATCTTAGATAGGATTAAAAAATATGTATCAATATTGTGATTTTCTTTCTTCTTTTAATGAATATGTTATTAAGCTTATCAAACGATATGAAAAGAATTTACATAAAATAGACAAAACTTGTCTATATTATTTAATGAAACATGCATCAATATATATATATATATATATATATATATATATATATATATATATATATATATATATATAACTGTTATATATATAGCGTTTAGTCAACTGTCTATACTAATTCAGTGTGAAGTTGTCCTCTTATTCTTATTTGGGATCTATGACATTTTCCGCTTCGTTTTTATACTCGGATCATTTTTCACATTTTGCTATTGCTATCAACCCCAACATTTTCTCAGCGTATTCCATCTCTACTGTCGTGTTGCCTTTGCTTGCAATATGATTATACTAGTGTCACTGTAGAATTTTAATGACCAACTTTTCTTCCCTTCTGATTTTTGTTTTCAGCAGTTTGACCTTTTCTAGTGCTTGTCCCTGCTTCCATCTTAATTCATCCATATGTGCCATAGTAATCTGCAAAGCAACCTTCTCAAATGGAGTTATCATATCTAAGTATGGAACTAACCTAATGATTATGGCAAAGTTGAAATGGCACTCAACTGGTATTTGCTGATATTGACAAATGTTTTTGCCAAGCCACAGGGGCTCTTGTTGCTACAGCTACTCCAATCTTACATTTGTTCTAGCTTCCCTATTTGATGAACCATGGACCCTTTCAAATTCTTCATCGTATGACTTAATCATATCTTATTAGAGTCTATCTTTATCTTTGTCTTTACTGCTAAAGAATGTCTTCGTTCACGTTGCTGTTGACAAATGGAAACGACGGCAGACAGAGCCAAACTTGACAGCAAGGCTGTAACAATAATAAAAAGAAGTGGCGGTAGAAATAGCCAAGTTGGACAGCAAGATGACAGCATCAGAGTTAATAAACACATTAGCTTTAAGACTCTAACTTCTAGGTTCAGGATTATTCCACGGCACAATAGTCTAGAGTTTGGATTCATGGTCAGTACCGCCCCTCGGGGAGTGGTGAAAAGATTCAGTGACCGGTGAGGAAAACGAGACAGGAGAGAGGCGTTTAGAAAAAACTGGGGTGGTAGAGTACGGTATGGTGGTGACATTAGATTATAGAACCAAGTAATATTTTTTTCTTTTATTTACAAATCTATATGACAAAATTCAAGTCATTTACAATTAAGGAACACGTAATGAATAAAATTAAAATTATACACTCACACATGGTTTTATTTTATTCTGTTCGAAATTAAAAATCCGAACGTTTGTTTGTATTTTTCTGATGTTATCTGAAGAGGATACGCCACAGGTCAGCCAGATCAGAAATCTGACGTCTGCAGGGGCCAAAGAACTAATTTTGTAGATGTAGCTATATAGCTATAGAGATGTTCTAATTGTATTTAAGTAAGGGCGAAATGCATATGTGTTTACCGTGTTAGATCAGTTGTTTTGAGTTTTACATAATACCAAGAAATAATTTTC